TTATATATATATATATATATATATATATATATATATATATATATATATATATATATATATGTATTATATATTTATATATGTATAAATATTTATATATGTATATATATTTATATATGTATAAAAGGATTCGAGATTTGTTCATCATACTGAATACTATCTATCTACTCTGTAATCTCAAACTCTTTATTTGAATATTCTGTATGTATGTATTACTTCTGGGCACGTAGTCATGTTTACTAAATGTCCACCCCATAGACGTAATGCTTTACTCTCTGCTTTAGAGGAGAAACGTGGTCCTTCAATAGTTACTATTGTTCCACCTTTTTGTACATTATGTCCTAATTTCTTTGCAGCTTGTAACAAAACTTCCGACGTTCGTGGATCAAAAGCAGGTTCCATTGGCATATGGCATACTCCTGTAATTTTATATTATATAATAAGTGATATATTAATAATATATTAGTAATATATTAATTATTACAATACACACTTTTACAAACAATGAATATAAACCTCATTCATTTACCTTTGTACTTGCTAGAAGTTCCATCATAGAATGTACCTTTCCTAGAATTGGTTCTGTCCAGGAAGCTATCAGGTACAACTAATTGTCCTCTGCCAATAGATTCAACCAATGATCCACATGCTGTAGATGCCAATACATGAGTGCATCCAGCAAGCCGCAATGCTTCTATATTAGCACGGTAATTGACTGCAGTAGGACTAATCATATGTCCTTTGCCATGTCTATGTTAAATAAAAAAAACATTGTATATCAACAAATGGTTAAAAAAAGCTCAACTATAAGTGACAAATTAAAAATAGATATAGTATATAGATGAAAGCAACAATTTTAGCAGTTTTACCTAGATAATAACACAATGTCCACTCCATTGATATGTCCATGATAAAGATTACTCGTAGGATATCCAAATGCGTTTTCTATATCTTCACGATTCGATATATTACTACATACAAATGTCTCTTCCATAAAATTGCCCAAACCTGAGCCACATATTATTCCTACCTAAGATAAAATAATATATTAGTAAACATATATAATATATTAGTAAACATATATAAAATTTATAATACACTACAATTTATACTAAATTTATAATATAGTAAAATTTATAATAAACGTCCTCTTATTTGCAACATAAATTAGAAATATTACTTACTTTGATCTTGTTTGCCATAATGAAAAATTTAATATATTCACGTTATTAAACTTATAAAATTGTGCAAACCCTTTAGACAAACTTTTGCCTAAGAACAGTTAAATTTTTTAAAATAGTTGAACAATGCACCAGAGTAATTGAATGCAGCTTACGTAATCAATGCAAACACGTGACAAGAATTTAAAGCCTCTATTTCTCACGTATGACTGACGAAATCACGACAAAGCCCATTCTACAATAGTAGTAAGCAACAACAACCAATCAGAATAAAGTAATCAATGAATAGAACATTCCGATTGGTTGGAATCTTACGCCACGTAAGTCTATCTTAATAAATCGTAATTGTAGAATGGCCTTTAGGCTGTTGCAATAAGTTTAAAGGGACGTCTACATTGGAAGTAAACAATAAGAAGTAGGAAGTAAGAATAAAAAATTGACCAATCATAGTTAATTATTCTTCTCACATTCGACTGTGGTTGGTCAATTTCTTACTCTTACTTCCTACTTCTTGCTATTTACTTCCAATGTAGACGTCCCTTAAAACGTCTCTACAATGGCAGTAGGAGTAGTAGTAAGAAATAAGCAGTAAGTAAATAGACCAATCACAATCAATTATTTTTGAAACGTGAGAATGGAATTGGTCAATTTGCTTACTGCTTATTTCTTACTACTACTCCTACTGCCATTGTAGAAGACGCTTAAAGTTTGATCTATAATATGCGGAGTAAGCCATAAGAATTGGCCAATCATAGTCGATTGTTACAAGAATAATCAGCTATGATTGGCTAATTCTTACTATCCTATCATTTATATTTATATATATTCATATAAAGAAATAAAATAAAAAATCTTTGTTTCAGAATACTGTATTTCTACACAATTATTTTAATCTTTATTATAAAGTTTCTCATGCACACACACAAGGATGGAATGGTGTGCAGTCGTTGGAAAAATAGAAATTTTTGTTTTGTAATGGCTTACGAAGTACGTATTTAGTGCGCTTAATTACTAAGTTTGATATCGAGATGTACAATCCACTAACATTTGGATATGACAACAAAGATCCTAAATATACATATAAATATATGTATATAGCAGCAACTTACGAATAATGCAATAATATACAAAGCACAAAATAATCGTATATATTCAGGATCAACGAGAATGGATATAAAAAATTAAAAATTCCGGCGAGAAATACGTATAGAGCCAATTTCACAAGTAAATGAGATTAAATAATATTCAATAGTAATACTTGTACAGCTTACTACTAAACTATCGCTTGATTCAGGATAGATCTTTGTGAAAAAGTGAATATTATCCACAAGGATGTATCACTATTTACTTGAAAAGTTACGAGCGACATTCATGAAATTGGCTTTTACTCGTATTACATGATTTAACATAAATAAATAACGCACATATATCTTCCCCTACTATTAATTAATTAATCAACAATAATCAAGTCTATTTAGAAGAATCTATTTAGAAGCATTACGTCACGTAGAAAAATATCTTTGTCATCTAGAAACAATATACGCACTTGATGGCACAGTTAACGAAGTACAGAAAAGAGAATTATCGGAATGTCGAATAAACGGGGCTCTCAAAGCTAGTAAATCGCGACGACGTCGCGAATAACTTACAAATAAGAAAAACAAAGTGAAAATTTCGCACATATTGACAAAGCATTACTTACACTGCATTTACAGCTCTCGTCATTTACCGCCGAACGCGTCGCGAACATCTCGCGACATTTGAAAAAAAATGAATTATTTTTGGCACCGGTTTCTCTTGTTTCAAAACACACACCGCATCGATTTGCATGTGCACCGTTTTGTCTCGCGATAGCTCTATCCGTGCGTGTAGCATAATGTATTACGTATCATCAAGCGCGTGAAGGTACTACGATCTTCCGTCAATAAATAAATATCTTAGATGTATATTCGAGAGCGTATGCGAGATAAGCTAGAGTTCATTGATGATTGTTCACTGATATGATCTGATTTATCCAACCGATGTACGCGGAGACCTTTACATACACGCCCGGAACGTTTTGACGACCGCAACCGAATCCCCAGGATACCAGTCCAGCTAATTCGTAGAAGCCGTCGTCTTGACATACCAAGGGACCTCCACCATCGCCCTAAACATAAACAAACGTAAGTAGTTAATGTTTCATTGAACAAAACATTATCGCGGAAGTTACAAGGTATAGATTATACAAGATACATCCCAAATTCTCCTCCGCAGTTTTTGTAAAAACGTAAAATAGATTCGGATAATATGAATATAAAAACAAGGAACATTAAATTAATGTTTAGAAACGTTGACTTCATGTGTATTGTTTGGACATTTTTAAATAATAATGCATTTATATTTTTCACATATTATTTTGTGATATTTTTATTTTGTGATTTTTCTGAATATTGTTTAAACGTTTCAAAAACATTACAAAAAATATATTTTTTAAATGTTACTTTAACATTTATTTGAGATCAATGCAACATCTTAAAAATATTTCTGCCGATTACGTTATAGTAACTCTATTTCAACATTATTGAAACTTCCAAATCGTGATCAAAGTATGTTCATAATGATGTTTGATATAATATTAAACACTACATATTTAACAATATTACAGGTTCTTCAATATCATTGTAGCAACGTTGTATTAATGATTTCTTGTTTATTGAGCGTTTTGTGATATTCCCAGATAACATAGAGAATTCAAAAAGAATTCAATCACCAGGTATATCACCAATTCTGAGTTCATTTTCAGATGCAAAAAAAATTCTTCAGAGTTCAGTTCAGTGAAGAGAATTCTTTTTGCATCTAAAAATGAACTCAGAATTGACGTACGACTGAATTCTTTTTAAATTCTCTGTGCTATCTGGGTCCTCAATAAATCTTGAGATATTAATTAAAGAAGATTGGTAAAGTTTATTTTACAGAAAAATACTTAAAGACATTTTTTTAAATAACTTTGGTTTAAAAAATTATTTTAAAAATTAGCTATGATGAAAGAATTCATTGCAGATTAAGAACATATTTTCCTTTCTCCAAATGATCTTCTATTGTTCAAATGATTCATAGTAGCAAACATGTTAAGTACAGACATTAATTATACAGCAAATTTATGAGATATATGAAATTTTGAAGGTACCATGGAAAAGTAAACAGACCTGACACGCGTCATTTCCTTGTTCCCCACCGGCGCAGAAACTGCTGGCTGGTAGAATGAAAATCTTCTCAGTCACGGCGTTGACTTTCCTGATGCACTCAGCGTCACTGACGATCGGTATTTCCGCTTCACGTACCCGAAGAGGTATAGGACCAGCTGTGAAATAACGAATGTTGTTTGGATAAAGTCTTTATTGTTAGATTTCGCTCCTGCGTTGGAACCGCGCTTTTTGTGAATTTGTTTTTAATGCTTCGTGAACATTTCAGTTTACTTCATCAGAAAAAAGAACAATTTAAACCGAGTCGTTTCTCAATAGGTATTCCCATATAAATGAGTAAATGTTGACTAATCGACGAAATGCGTGAATATTTACTTCTGCCCAGATATTTGGTCAATTCAACCAAACTTTTTTTTCCGTGCAGGTTAATATAAAAGATTTGTCATGTTTGTTAAATAAGATAGAGAAAGTACGCAAAACTATATAGTTTCGAGAGATTAATATATTTTACGAATAAAATAAACAATATCGTCTAGATATTCTTTTAGGCATTTAATGTGAGGTTGCGATTGTTATTTTTTATCTATGATCTTCTGCCAATTATGACTTTTGCATTCATTGTTTCATAAAATTGTATAAAGATATAAAATTGTAATTGTTACATTTTCACCCCGAAAAATCCGAAAATACTTATTGCACTACTCAATATTATTGCATAACGTAGTTGCAACGAATAATATTCCGCGATAGTGATCCTTAGATGAGAAAGAGTATAATATAACAAATACGATACCTTCTCCCATGTATCCATAACCGGTAACCGTACACCTTTTGCCAGCAGTGTGACTAACACCGCGCCCTGGCAAACAGACCAAACAAACTCCATCCTTCAGCTCCGCTTGGCCGTGAAGCTTCAGCAACGCGATATCATTGTCGAGTGTCTGACTGTTATGATTGTGGTGGATGTACGTGGTTGCGACGCGCAAAGTTTGAGCGCCGGGGCTCCCGTATTTACGAGTGAGATCGTGATCGCCCACCCTCACGTAGATCGCGTCGCCAGATCTGACGATGCTGCAAACGAATGTTTTCTCACTTTTTGATATTTGAGGTTTTCACGGAAAATATGTCAAACGTGGCTTTCGGAGAATTTTTTTCAACATTTCAATTCACTTCATTAGGAAGAAGAAACCTTATGTAATGTTATCATGTTGTATCCATTATTTTAAACAAGAATGCGACGAGTGCATTTTACTCACTTCGTGACGCAGTGCGCCGCAGTGAGCACCCACTGCGTTCCTATCAACGCGCCTCCGCAGAGGTACTGATTAAGAGAATTGATCAAGGCAACCTGCCAGCACCACTCGTTGGCGTCCGCGTCTTCACCTCCTACCACGCGTGCAGTCCTTTTGGAACTTCGGGCCTGGATCGGCCCACGAGACGTGCCTTTCACACCACAAACATATTTGCTGTATACGGGACTTCTGGTGGTGCTGGTGATCGTCGTTGCTTCGTCTGTGAAATTAACGATTTGATATTTCACGATGTGAAAAAATGCTGAGTTTACCTCGCTGGCTGTAGCTGCGTCTTTAGTGGATTTATGTTTAATATTTCGTGAACAGCTCGGCTCACTCATTAGAAAGAGAAATAACCTGACATTGTATCAAGTATTAAGTTATTCCTCTTCCTAATGAAATAAACTGAATTATTCACGAAAAAATCTATCAGAAACGTGGCTTCAACTCGAAAGCCAATCTAGCAAATTAACAGTTTCTTACATTAATAATGAAATATTTAAAATTCTTTTTCTACAATACTAATTCTTTTCTCTTTCAGAAGTAGTAAGTATTTAAAATACTTTTATTCTTTTATCAATTTCTACTTGAGACAATGTAGTAACATAAACAGAATATTCTGAACATACTATTTGCAAGGTTGGGTAGTAACTAATTAAAAAGTTAAAAGTTAAATTAAAAAGTTAAATAGCTTTAACTTAACTTAGTTATATTTTTACACTCTTAACTTTTAACTTAACTTAGTTACATTTTATCGGTAACTATTATATCTTGAAGTTAACCATGCCATAAAGATGTCGCGAGACGTCGAAAGGCTGTTCAGTGCAAGAGGGCTCATTTTCGACAATCTTTGAGGAAAAATGTCCAATAAAAATTTCGAAAAAACTTTCCCAGTAAGCAAGAAATCATTAATACAACGTTACTACAATGATATTCAAAAACCTATAATATTGTCAGATATGTAGAGTTTAATATTGTATCGAACATCATTATGAGCATACTTTGACCGCGATTTGGAAATTTCAATAATATTGAAATAGAGTTGCCATAACGTTTTAATCGTCAGAAATATTTTTAAGATATTGCATTGATCTTAAATAAATGTTAAAGTAACATTTGAAAAATATATTTTTTGTAATGTGTTGTTTTTGAAACATTTAAACAATATTCAGAAAAATCATATCACAAAATAACATGTGAAAAATATAAATGCAATATTATTAAAAAATATCCAAACAATGCACATGAAGTCAACGTTTCTAAACGTTAAGTTAATGTTCCTTGCTTACTGGGTTATTACTTAAATTTAATAAGTATATGTAAATAAAACATGTTTCCAAATAAAGTGTATATTTGTTTTTTCCGTTATTTGTAAAACTGAAATCCTGAAGTTATAAAATAAAACAAATTTAACTTTTAACTTTTTAATTACTTTTTTTATTAACTTAACTTTTAATTTAATTAATTTCATTATGAGTTAACTTTATCTTAACTAAGTTAAATTTTCAAAGCCATTAACTTTAACTTAACTTAGTTAAAAAAAAAAGTTAACTTACCCAACCCTGACTATTTGTGTAGATAAGATCTTCAACTTCTATTAATCAATGACATAATCTTGATCAGCTTCAACCAATTAATAATATAATGATTAAAAAATAAAAATTTTGTTTCTAAGCTTTTAAATGTGTTTCATCTTGAAACGATTACTTCTAAATATTCTTAATTCTTGGATTTTGACCTGCAATTTTTTTTCTCAATTATTATTAATTCAATCGTCGCTTTGAAGCGTCGACAATGAAAATCTTCTTCGGCGGAGATACTTACACATCGACGTTGTAAGCGGAGTGGTGTAAGGTCTGGATGTGACGTGGAACGTGTCGTTTCTGTTCATCAAAAGTGGCTCGGTAGCATTTCTTATCAGAGACTTCGGAGCACAGCACTCATGTCCCTGCTTTTTACACTTGAACAAGTTTGTCAGCTCAGCGTTTCCTGCGAATAAATAAGCATGAGGTGAGCATTGTCCTCGATAGCGGCATTTCCCCGCGTGTACTTACGGAAACAGGTGAACGACAAGTAGGACATGATGCAGGAACCAGGACACTCCGGACGTGGGTCTGGTGGTAACGGTACGGTCGTCGGCGGTCGCGGGGTGGGTTTCGGCTTTGGTCTTGATGTCTGTAAATGAAGGATAGATTATGAAGAATATTGCAGAACAAATTTATTAAAAAATTATTGAATGAAAAAAGTTATTCATCCTCTTCATTCTTTCCAGGTACACAAGATGTCTGACATTATTCATACCTCGTGCACATGTAGATGAGGTCAAACTGAGCACATAATTCTTCTACCATTTTGCAAACAACCACGTAAAATTTTATTAATTAAAGAAAATTGACGAATAATCATGAAAATGAATTACGACGCCTGTCGTCGTGTGTTTGTAGATTAAGTAAAATTGAACGAAAAAATCCTGTACCATTTTGCAAAGAAACACATAGATTTATGGTTATTAATTAAAGAACATTAATATATTATCGCGCACACGATTATCCACTAATCTTCTTTATTTAATAACTCAAAAGTCTACGTAATTGTTCGCAAAATAGTAGAGGAATTTTATGTTCAGTTTAATCTAATCTACATGTACACACGAGGTACAAGACGTTTAGCGCCCGACACTCTACATACTGCTGTAATATTGTCCATTTTATATTTATAGATACTAGTCAAACTATACGACATAACTTACCTGAGGACTTTTTGTATTATCGCAACAGATGGAACTAGAGGGACAGGTCGATGTCTTTGTTATAATTGTGTTTGGCCGTTCGCAGAATGCTGCCATAATAGTCAGCAAACAGAAGCCAGGACACGGCGGTAGCTTCGGTTGAGGAGCTCTCGTAGACGGCCGGATCGTCGTCGTTGTCGTCGTTTCCTGAAGCAGAATGGTCCTTACATCTTATATTGCTCTATGAGCTCAACAATTTTTTATCTGTCGGTCGTTTATTTTGGAAATTTAGTGTTATCTTAACCTGTTGTCGGAAAAATGGGGTCTGAGAAATCTCATGCATTCCATTTCATTCTTTTTAATATCTTCAGAATTTTTTTCTTGTTGTTACTCAATTTCAATATTCCATTGAATCATGAGAGATATTTTATATAAGGTTTGAGAAATTTTTAAAATACAACCAAAACACAAAAGAAGAAAGAAATTCACTAAACTCCATCTTTTCCATTGTTTTTTATTGTATACGATAGAATACTATTCACACTTGTGAATTCACGAACCAAAATCCATATTCAAAACGATAGAAAACGATAGAATTTTATTCTATCGTTTTCCATAAACTTTCTTGTTACCAGGGATCATATTATGTAAAGAACGTATGAAGCATAAAATACGGTAAATGTTACCGTTTTCGCAGGTAGCGGTTCGTTGACACAGCAAACCGTCAACGCGGACTCTTCGTTCGGACAATCCGCGTCGCTGTCGATGCTGTCGCAGAAGAGCGCGGCCAGACCGCTTATGCACTCTCCTCTGCATGTCTTTAGTAGCACCGGCTTCGGTCTCGTCGTTGTCGTCGTCGTCGTCGTCGTCGTTGTCGTTGGCGGCGGTGGCGGTTGTCTGGTAGCCATCGTCGTAGTCGTCGTTGTGGTAATCATCGCGGAGACACTCGTCGAGAGCGATGTGTTCGGTCGCGTCGTCATCGGCGTGAACGAAGTTTTGCTGTACACACTGCTGTTGTTTTTCTCATCATTACGAGAGGAATTCTCGTTTGATTTCGTGCGATCGATCACCAAGAGTTCGGGCGGCGGCGAATCGCCGAAAGCGTCCCGGGCCACGCAACACTTCAAGCCCGACGAGCACAGGTTGTCTATCACCAGTATGGCGTCGCAATAATTGGCGATTCTCTCGCTCATGCAGATCCCCAAGCATGCTTTCCCTGAAATTAAAATGAACGTTGTCGGTTCAACTTTGGTTGATAATGATGTGCGAAAAAGAGAACCCAGACAACGGAAAATCTAAAATCAAGACATAAGACGTCTTAGATATCATCTTTAAGATGTCTTTCAGACGATTTACGTATAGGTGTCTTTAAAGCGTCTTAAAAATTATTTTTAAGATGTCTTATGTCCCGATTTTAGACATTACGTTGTCTGGGAATGTCCATGTCTACCGCGTAGGATTATTCAGAGCGTCCGACGATAACATATAAAACACTCGTGTATATATAAATTAGATCAAACTGACCAAGAAATTCCTGTATTATTTTGCAAAGATTAAAACGTTTGGAGTTATTAATGAAAGTAGATTGATGAATAATCGCGCAAAATACGGTGTAGAATGTGACGGTAAGTATGATTTGCGCAGTGTGCTCGTACATTAGTTCAAACTGAACGAAAAAATCATCTATTGTTTTGCAAATAATCACGTAAATTTTTAGTTATTGATCAAAGAAGATTGAAGCATGTATGTACGCTTTATAAAACTGCACATCAAGTTTTTATTAATAAATAAAATTCTAATTAATTAAAATAATAAAATTCTAATTAATAAATAAAAAATCTGTGGTCATTTGCAAATTATTTTTAGTTTAGTTTGATTTAACAAGCACATGACGCATGTCGTAACTTATAACTTATAACTCATATGTATAACTCAAACTTTCATATAATAATTTACAAAAGGGTAGAAGAATTTTTTGTTCAGTTTGACTTAATCTAATCTAATCTATACGTACACGAGAGTTTTATATATCATCGTCAGACACTTTATATATTTTAATGTTAAATTTTTTTTATAATTACCAATGAAAAATACATATACACACTTGCGGAAAAAAAGGAGATACTACATTAAAGAAATATATTTTACGGAGAATATTTACGTACCGGGTTTGTCACTGCTTTTGTTATAGTTTTCCTGCAAAATGTAGAAAAAACATATAAGATATAATTTATACGATATAAATTAGAGAAAAGAAAGAGTACAGTGCTTTTAATAGCGCGATAAAACGTAAAAAATATAATTTGGACGAGAAGGTTTTAATTATGACTATTTTTATCGAATGTTTATACAGTCATAGTTCAAATTGAAACTCAACAATCTAACAAAAGAAAATTGGAAGAAGTTCCAGGATATTTAATCAATATCCAGATAAAAATACTAAACATAAAAACTACTAAAACATAAAAATATTTAATGTAATGCTATTGCAACAACAGTGTTTAAAATATGTTTATTTTAAGAAATATTCATTTATTACGCCATAATTTTAATAAAAAAATACTTATTTCTTATTACTTCAATAATTTTGGATTAATTATTTTCTCGACAAAGTAAACAGCAATTTTCATGCTATCAAGATATGCGTAGTATTGTTGCATTTTTCATGGCATCTTTCTTAAATGATTTCTTTTATATACTGACTATCCAGATAACACAGAATTCAAAAAGAATTCAGTCATATGTCACCAATTCATTTTCAGATACAAAAAGAATTCTTCAGAGTTTAGTTCAGTGAAAAGAATTCTTTTTGCACTTAAAAATGAACTCAGAATTGGTGACATACAACTGAATTCTTTGAATTCTCTGTGCTTAATAATTACTAAGCTGAAATATATCTTCATTAAATAATATTACAAATTCACATAAAAAATATCTTTTAACAAAATTTCAGACTTTTTTACAGATATTAAACACAAATATATTTTTAATGTTTCAGTCATTAGAACAAGGTTCAATTATTGACATTTCCCTTAATTACATGTTGATTTTTTTCATGAAGGGATCATTGTGCCTTTTGCATAAGTCGAAACTTAAATTTAAAAACTTGATCATTATACTTGCTACATTAAAGTAACTATTAAATATTTTTACTCGGTTCCATACTCCAAGTGCCGCGTATCAGCTCGCACAAGATGAACTTTTTATCGGCTTATTATATGTGATCAATGACGATATGCTGTCCGGCGATCAGTTTCTAGAGCAGTATTCAGCATGTCAACCTAGTCTATTTTCTCTAGCGCCAAGTTTGCTAGACATACCGGTGTAGTTTTTGCCGAAGTAGAGGAAGTAGACGTGCCGAGCGTCGTGGCGGTTGTCGCAGGTGTCGTCGTAGAAATCGTGGTCGTCTTGATCGTCGTGGACACGGTCGAGGTCGGCTCCTCGTCATCGATGGCGTTTTCAGAGGACGAGCCGGTGCCGTTCATCGCGTCGTGAAGGCAACATCGCATACTGGCCGTGGGACACTGCACGTTCTCCAGAACGTCGTCGCACATCAACGTCGCCAACGCGTGCACGCATACACCCGGACAGCCATCAACCTTCGCCGTGTTCGTCAAGGTATTTAAAAAACCTGCGCGCACACAAACCATGCAAAAGTCTTAGTTTCATTCTTGTGCTTTCAATAAACGTCAGTCAAGATAGATCATCAGGAAACCCTGAAAACACTATAGATCCAAGTCGTGATGTTGACTTGCAGAGAGGTAGTGTAAAAAGAAATATAGAACAATTCTAGAACTTAAATTTTAATTGTTAACTTAAAGGTCAGATCAATGTAATGCTTAAAAAAAAAAGAGAATTTTTGGGAATTAATTTTGCAAAAAAAAATAAATCAACTGAAGATTTTGAAATATTGTATATTAATTAACAACCTCTTGACTGTAGAGGCAGAAAAATGTTGTCGAATTTTCTTTATGATATTATTATAAAGGTTTTTGAAGTCGCTGAATCCGAATTTGACATCAAAATTTCGAAAATCAAAATGGCGGGTCAAAATTTTAAAAGTAATAGAATTTTCATGAAAGTGAGTGTCTATATTTTAAAATTTTGATATCAAATTTGAATTCAGCGATCCCAAAAATATATAGATACCCACTTTCATGAAAATCTTATTATTTTCATAATTTTGACCCGCCATGTTGGATCCGCCATTTTGAATTTTAAAATTTGGATATCAAATTCGGATTTAGCGACACCAAAAACATATAGATATCCAAAAATGCATCCTTGTATGCAAAAAACAATAATTTTACTATTTTTTCTCTTCGATGCGGATATACATGCCATCCACAGTCAAGGGATTAAACTTTATATTACTATTTTTATTATGTAAAAAAAACTATAAATAAATATACAGCATATGATCGAACTCACAACTGCAAAAAATATCGCTGCAATTCAGTAGAAAAGATAGCACCCGTTTTAGTGATTTGAGATTAAAAAACCAAAAAGTTTCTTAAATAATATCCTGGTAGTTGGAAGATAAACTTAAATTTTAAGTTGTGGAACAAAAATTGCAGAAACAAAAAATATCTAGAAATTGAATGTTCAAATTTTGCATATTTTTATTATTTTATACTAGTAAAAAAAATAAGTTAAAAAAGTATTAAGTTTAACAAGTATATTATTTAAGAAATTTTTTAATTTTTTGATCTTTTCAGATCCACTTTCTTTTGGTTCAAAAAATCAATAAATAATTGTAAAATTAATGTGATATAGAACCTTCCGCTTTAATCTTACTTTTTCTCATGACTCTGTCAACTTAATTTTTTTATCTCTATTTATCAATTGTTAAAGTAAAGGGAAAATGGTCTGATTATTTTACGGGTTTGCTCGATCGATTGCACAAGTATTTTTTAAACATATTATTTTATTTCAACGTATTTTGCAAAAAAATTTTTAACGTCTATTTTCTCACTTCGACGTAAAATCAAGGAGAAGTAAATCAAGGAGAGATTCCAAAAGTTTTAATAGTTAACTTAATAGACAGCTTAATAGTTGTCACTTGAAATTTGTCTCATGTGAGGTACATAGATTTTGATTCAGAGTTAGATCTGAATTTTTTAATTTTAATTAAATAATGTGACATATCTGACATTATATTTGTAACCTTGATTCAAACTAAAAACTTACATTTAATTCTGACACTATATTAATATTAATGCAATATATATTTAATCGTTAAAAACAAATTGCGCAATATAAAACAAAAGAAATTAATAACTTTTTTTATATGAACACTTAAATGTAAGAAATCGGAACTTTCGATAGATAAGTTCAAATAATGTAAAATTCAATATTCGGTATCAGTATTAATATCAGTAAAAATTCAGTATATTAGTATCAATAAAATTCAGATAAAGTAAAAGTTAGATTCAGTAAATTTCAATGAAATTTGTACGTATTTCAACAATATGTTTCAAGCAATTCACGCTGATTAATAAATTTGTCTTTATTGCAAAACGTGGAACATCCCCAATTCGATATGCGAAACATATTTTGAATATAGCATATAAACAATAAGCAGGTGTATTTACATCTGTTGACCAGTCTGTTGTTAAAACAACGAAGATATGGGCGACCGATAACGTTTGTGAAAAGAATCGTAACGGTCTCAAATACTACGTTGACTACACCCGACTGAAATTCTTCAACGAATAAGAAAGAAAGAAAGAGAATTTAATCGGCTCGCCGGCGGCGCAGGAATAATAAATCCGGCATTCTCACACACATCGATCCGATTACCTCACATCGCGGGATCCGAGAGAGAGAAAGAGAGAGGGGAAGTCTTCTTATGAAATTACAACTATTACGCCTTCGCGTCGTTTGATCCGTCGTTAATTGTAACTGTATATCTATTTACAGGTGCGTGAACGAACGGCAGAAATTCTTGCATACGTAATGTTACGCAGCTACATCGCGGAGTGGTCAAGGATGGCCAAACTTGATCTTGACAGCTGTGGGAAGCGAAGTTAACGACCGCCGAGGGAACTTTCTGTTCTCGAATCGATCTCAGAGCCGGGTTGAGGCTGGAAGATTGTTTACTTCAAATCACGTAGAGTTAATATTATACATGAAGACGCATCTCCGCGATCTCCGGAAGGTGTTTCGATTTCCTTAATTATAACATAACAACCGTATTATATGAAACGACTGAGAAAACAACTGAGAGCATACTGTATATTGAAAAATATATAATCTCGAGGAATCTTGAAGCTTGGATAATTATGTCATTTTTATTTTTGAGCACTAATGGAGTTATTTCCTTCTCTTAAACATATAGATATTCTCTCATTGAGTCCTGAAATCGACATCCGTCTGAAGCGCATTAGACATGCCTTTAAGATACTCCAAACACTCTTCCCTTTTGTTTTAATAACCATAAAATTAACTTCCCTTTTTAACTTATATTTTCCCATTAATATGTTACGTTAATTTTACGGTTATTTATTGATTGTTAAAGCAAATTGAAAATATTCGGAGTATTTTATAATGTTTTTGATCAATTGCAAATGTTTTTTTTATATGTTTCTTTATTTCGATGCACTTTTTGGACGCTTTACCATTTCCCCGTTCTTTTGACATCAAGATGGCCGTAGCGAGCGACCAAGAGCCTTAAGATAAGTGGAACAGAGTTGCCTATTGTCACTATGAGAGTCAACGTGTTGAATCCATCATGTGAATTCGCAATGTACAAATATCATGCCATCAAACAACAACGTCGTGCAGACATCGAGGTTCCCGCTAATAACGTGCTCGTTCGTCACAGAGGCGACTGCGCCGATGAAATCTCGCGGCACTGCCGCGTGTTAATGACCGACGTCACTTATGGATGAAAGTTAAGCGCAAAAGTGGCGAGCAGATACGCGATTCGTCATATGCAATGTGCGCGCGCGAGACGACGTGAGCACGCCAAGAAATTCGCACGGATATACAACTCCCCCGGCTGGTTTCACTTTGGCAGGCATAACGGACCAAACAAACATAACGGTAGTTAATGAGCAACGGCTCAGCTCGACTGCGCGTAGCTGTCTTCGGCATCACACGTGCCTTTTGTCTAACGCGATTCGATCTCGGCCGAACTTCAGGTGACAAACAATTGTGTAGGGCTCCTTCTCTCTTTTTTGTTTTTTTTAATTTTTTTTTTTGGTATTTATCTTATTATTACAATTTATTCTGTAGCTGCATCGTGCATCTCAACACTAGAATGTCCGATGGAGTCATTTTGATTCCTTTAAGATCTTCTTGTTGTCGCTATTTCTGCTTCTCTGGTTTAGGGAAGAAAATATCTCGTGACTCTTTTAATTATATTCTTAAAATGTTCAAAGTTAGTGATACGAGTAATGAGGGACAGAAAATTCTAAGATATTAGAATCGTTAGGAGTCAAAATGACTTTTTCGGGCATCCAAAGTGGGTTGTAATTTCCGGACATTCTAATCTAATGAGTTTCATCTCTGTGAGTTGAATAAATCTATCTATTTATCTCTCTGTCCACGTAATTACGAGCAGCTCTGACAGTTAAGGGCTGATATCTCCGACAGCGATTGCCGTGAAATAATAGACCCTTGGTTACAAAAATCTCGGACAAATTTACATTATTTTTTAGACGAGTATGCGCCTGACTTTCATAGCGGCGAGCCGATAATAAGGGCTGACTAATCTTAATATTTCAGTCAGACTGAGATGACGAAATCATGCTTATAGAATAGCGGGATAATTAGGTCTGGAATTTAAGGGGAAAAGAATGCGCGTTAGTCTCTAAAAAGAATATAGAGAAAATGATTATAACGGTGGGAGATCGATTTTTAATAAATGAGTCAGACTAAGATGATCAAATATGAAATAACGGAATAAATTAGATCTGGAATTCAATCGAAAAACTTGGATTTAACTCAGAGTAGAAATTTGAGAATCTTATATGAGACAAGTTTCAAGTGACAATTATTAATACACGCTTTGATAATTAGACTGGGATGACCAAATATGGAATAGCGGGATAATTAAATCTGTAATTTGAAATAGTTATATCGCGTTGGGTGCCGTACTTTCAGTACATTGAGAGAGCCACTCATAAACTTGCTATTTATTGAACAAAATTACGTCTGTATACATTTATTTCATTAAGTAATAGATATTAATTTGAGATAAAGTTGAGACGGACACACACAAAATATTACAAAAATACGATGAAACTATTAAAGAAAATTTAGCAGAATCTTAAAAGAATCTTAGCAAAAAAGCAGAAAATAAAAAAGCAGAAAGTCGTGCTAGTAGAAAAGTACAAACTGGTCGACCATCACCTAGAAAAAATTAAAGTTTTTCGACTAAATTTTAGATCTAATTTATTCTATATTTGTCCCGTTATTCTATATTTCATCTTTGTCTGACTCATTTGTTAAAAATCGATCTCCCACCGTTATAACCATTTCTTCTATATTCGTTTTAGAGACTAACACGCATTCTTTCCCCCTTAAATTCCAGACCTAATTATGCCGCTATTCGATACTTCGTTATCTCAGTCTAACCGAACTATTAAGAAGGTATTTGGTTAGCCCTTATAATCGGCTCGCCGCTATAAAAATCAGGCGCATACTCATCTCAAAGATGATACAACTTTCTCACTAGTCGACCACTACCACGAATTCTAATCGGCTTCTGCTTTCCTACCAAAGTGTGAATGCGCCTTTATTTTTTATTTTTTGATAAATGTCTTATTTATGCATCAATTTATCTAAGAGATATACAGATAATAAAAAGAGGTATAAATATTTAAATATGTGTATACTCAGACAACATAATGTCTAAAATCGGGACATAAGACGTCTTAAAGATAATCTTTAAGACGTCTTAAAGATAATCTTTAAGACGTCTTAAAGACATTTATATATAAATCGTCTGAAAGACATCTTAAAGATAATCTCTAAGACGTCTTATGTCCCGATTTTAGACATTATATTATCTGGGTATGTATATGTATTTCAAATATTACTATAAATTATGAATTTCTCCTGTCGTTGCATTTTGAAACAAAATGGTCAATAATTCTGAAATATATAATGTCTGTAAATTAATCTTTAACATCATAATAGTTTTCCATGAAAACTTACATGTAATCTTACTTACATCATCTTACATGTAATTTAGAAGATATTAAAAGCAGAAATTAAATACAGCATATTAGCGTCGAGGAATATATATAAGAAGCGTCAATTTTAATTGCAAATATCTTAGCTCTCGAGTGATCAATCTTTATCTAATTGCGCGATCAGTTAGATAACATTTCACTACATATGTAATGCAAGTTCCATCGAGTTCTCACTAAACTCGTTTCTTGTAATTATCTTAAGAAAAGAAAAAAAGAATGCGTTGTTTTGAAGCGAACGAGAACTGAACTTCATGTAAGATAAAAAGTACCAATACCGGACATGTACTTGAACATTATTATTGTTTTGTCTTAAAATATAAATATTTAAACTTTCAACACAAAATATATATTGAGTATACATAATACAAGTATATTACACACACATGTGTGTGTGTGTGTGTGTGTGTGTATATATATAAGTATTGAGTATATTCTGTTTTGAAAGTTTAAATATTCGTATGTAAAGACCAAAATAATAAGAATGTTCAAGATTAGGTAAGCGCACGGGAATTGGTACTTTTACCTTAATGTGTAAAGTTAGAATCTTATCGTCGCATGTCCGTAGACAAATTTTCCATGTCACGCATGTGTATGTGCATATGCGTGCATATGTGTGTATGTGTGTAGGCGTGACGCGTAGATGTTAATTAGGCTCGCACGATTTCTACAATTTGGCGGACCTTTCGCTCGTTATGCCTCATACGGGAAATCCGTACGGAAGCGGACACGTAACCAAGGAACCAACAGTCGAATGAGTAATCCTAATCCTCCAACTCCGAGATCCAACTGTGCGCGCAGGAAAGTTTATCTCCGCATTCAGACTTGGTGAATTAGATAAATGTCCCAATAATTAAACTAATAAGAAAGCACGATCAGTTTTGAATTTTTATTAACAAGTAATTAGTGAAATTGCAAAGAAAACTAACGTTTATATAAAACCTTGGTTTGTCAGCGATCGAGAAATAGTAGGAAATAAAAAAAAAAAAATATATATATATATATATATATATATATATATATATATATATATATATATAAAATCAATAAATATCAATTATAACTTTAATGAGATACATTAGATAATGCCAGTTGTATCAGTAATCGAACTAAAAAATGAATTATGTCTTGATTACTGAACAAACACATATTTAGTAATTGAACGGTCATTAAATAACATTACAAACTGACATAGGACTAGTTATTCCAACTTCTTGTTAAGCTACCTAATAGTTAAATCATATATTTGTCTTTGTCTAATTTGAAGAAAAAACGAAGATAGATATATGATTTAATTGTCAGGTAGCTTACCAAAAAATTGGAACAATCGGCTCATAAAGAAATATCCTTTAACAAAATTTCAAGGATTTTTTTATAAATATTATATACAAATATATTTTTAATAGTTCAATCATTTGAAGGTTCAATTATTGGGACATTTACCTTTCGCGATCTGCGAAACGTTGCTCTATCCGCAAAAAGATCGACGAGTGAAATTGAAGATAAAGTTACAGCTTGCTGCTTGAAGAACGCGAGCCAGGCGCGAGCGCGTCGCTTCCTAGTTTTTAAGCTTAGCGGCGGCCTTGTTACCGTCAGCGAATCAACCGTCATCCGCATAGCGCTATACAACTCCTAAAAGTGGAACGGTCGCGCATCCTTCTAGATTCTACCTATAAAAGCGTGCGCCGCATATACGTCGGCGCACGCGAATTTCTATTTCTCGAAACCACCACCACTGCCATCACCACCACTATCGTTACCACCACCGTCGCCGTCGCTACCGGGTAACTTTTTGTCGACCATATTACGTGCATCGCGTACAAAAATCGCGCTGCTCGCCGCAGGTCGCGGAGGAAAATCGAATCGGCGAAGTTGCACACGAAAGCTGATCGGGAATCGCGAATCTGATTCTATAATTATACCACGTGTATACCCTACAGCAGAAAATGTTCCTGAAATACTTCAGAAATATTATTTTGTAACATTAAAATATTGTATTACATATTTCGGCAAGATTGCAGCAACATTCCTATGCCCGCCTTTAAATATTTTGCAATATTTCTGCAATATTCTTGAAATATTTCAAGAAATATCGCAAATATATTGTTGGAAACTTAATGCAGTGTTGCTAAGAATATTGGAGAAGGGTTACTTGTACATTTAAATCATATTCAGCGTATTTCACCAACTGTGGAAAGATAATTTATTAAATCATATTTTTGTTTTTCTTTTAAAATAATTAATTAGTATACCAATCAGTTGGTAAAATCCGTTCATATATAATGATAAAATTCGCCTATATATAATACTATCACACATCAAATATATATCTTTGAAATATTTCTGAAATATTAGGAATATGTGACGTCAAAATAACATTGTAACAATATTCTGTAACATTTCTTATAGAATATTACAATATTGTTGAAATACTTCAAGGTTTGTAATATGTTGCAATATTGTAATATTCTTGCAATATTTTAGCAATATTTTATGCTGTAGGGGGTAGTGGGCTGTGTGTAAGAATGTAATAATGCTAATTAAATTCAACTGTTTAAATTAATATTAAATATCATAATAGTATTATAATAAAATATATAATAAAGTATTACAATATTAAATATTAATATTATATAGAATTAATTAAATTTAACCAAATAGAACATAACTATGCTGACAGAAAAAATATCTAAAAATTAGTTAATATTTATTTGTTGGATGACATATTTACTTAAATCCAAATTCTTTTATTTAAGTAGAATAAACAATTATTTTTATAAAAAGCTAAGGTTTTTTTAAAAAATTCTAAGAATATGTATATTTTCTTATTTGAAAAAAATTTTATATAAGTATCCACCAAATAAATATTTGCTATCTCTTAGATATGTTTTCTTTCAGTAAAGGACCAGTGGAATAACTAATGTTTTACATATATAGTGCAATAATATATGTACAGATATTTATTACAAATTAAAGACTAAACGAGATCAATTCAAACGTTTCGGTCTTAAGCCGGACTCTCTTCAATGATAAACGATCTAACGATCACAAGAACAAATAACACTCAAATCAACATAAACAATATAAATAATAATAACAAATTCAGATGTGCAAAGAGGCAAACTGACTTACAACAGGAACTCGGCTCTGCCGAAATTAAAGAAAATCGAAATTAAAGAAATTAATTACATAATTAGCAATAACGTGTGACTTAATTTGTTGCTTCTCGTGACTGCTAAATTGTTTACCACGGAAGAATTTGGTCTTTGTTGTGTAATAAATATCCCAACACATTTAGATATTGTATTTTTATTTGTATTGCCTTAAAATATTATCATTAGGTTCTTATTAGGCCCTTTGTTATGCTGTTTGAGATCGATTGCTAATAGAGACTCTTTTTAGTTAAATCAAGTTTAACTTGTAAGCAATTAAAATTTCAGTTATCTTTACACCGGAAAAAATTGCGTGAATTTATAACGGTAGCTCTTGTAACATAATTTCAGACTGTAAATTCGAAAATTTATTAGGCGCGATAATGAAGATATCCGTTACGTGAGCGAGGCCATAAAACACGTCGTTGGGCATAGCGTTGCATTTTGTTGAACGTAATAACTGCACGTTTTTACGAGTAAAACTTTATTCGCGCGTTCTCATCCTTCTTCCGCCTCCGAGTGTAACACGATTATAAACCGCGCGCGAGATCATAAACTTGCACACGATAAAACCTCTCGAATCCGGAGAGAATCGTCAGCGAACTGGCATTACTTTTCGGGGTTTTCGTCCAATGCATGCCATAACGCGCATAAAACGGTAGCATCTTATAATTCTTCAACACATTGATAAGAAACATTAGCCGGAATCGAGATGTAATGTCCCAGTTGTCTTTTTCACATTACCTCACGAGCTTCGTCTTCGCGGAGTCGAGTGAAACGGTACAGTCTTCGTCGGAGTAAGACAATCCGGACGAGTCACAAGAGTTCGACACGGTTTAGAGACGGAAGTGTGTTCTCGTAAAACGCCGCACACTAAATGAAAACTTGTACAAGAAGATAGACTTCTATTCCACGTAACGCTTTCCCGCATACTATGACGTCATAATGAGAGGGCGATTTTTACCTGATATGAAGCTGCTGGCCAAAGAATCGTCATCTTGACCGCCAACTGACCCGGCTAGCGCGAGCAAAAGGACGATGCCCCCAGGAGCTACTCTCAGTATCATCTTCAGCCTCCCTCAAGCCGCCTCCGTTCCTGTTTCTTCAGTCAGGAGTTCAGTAGTGAAGAAGAAAAAGAAAAAGAGGAAGAGCGACAGGAAAAACAAAAAGAGAGAGAGATAGATACGGAGAGAAAGAAACAGAAACTGCCTCTGTAAGATGAGACGAGACGAGACTGATGCACTGTCTTGTTCGCGTGGACTCAATCACGTGCGTGTCAAACTGCTCTTCACCGCGAGAGAGTTCTAGTGATGTTCACAATGTTGTCGTCGTGCGGCTCGGGCCCGCATCGCCTGCCTCGACCTGTCAGATGGATGGACTGACTGGGTAGAGATCAGGGCCTACTTGTGGGTCAGGGTGTGTGAATCCCCACCTCCGCACGACCACGGCGGCGATGACGGTTAAGGAGGCGAGAGAGAAGGTCAGCGGACCTGGCGGGAAGAAGACAGAGGATGATCGTCGACCGGCTTTACGAACGTTGTCCGGAGGGGATAGGGTTGTTGGCAGGGGCGGGTTAGTTGAGTCTTCTACGCTCTTCGCTTCCGCGACGCGCTGCAGCGCGCGGGATCGGCGATTTAGAACTTCTGAACGCTGAAAGCAGAAAATAAGACCGCCGAGGAGAAACGACCTCGGCGGCCTTGGCGTTAATTGGCGAGTCGCTCGATCTTACAACTAAGATTATAACGTCGCTATCACTATATAGCTTTGCCGATTGCGCTCTTCCGTCGCGATGCGAGAGACGTTGTTCGAATCACCCTGATAAGCGATTTCATTCATGGCCGGGTCGGTCGCGTGAAAGTTCACCGATACGGCACCGCAGCTAATGCGACCTCGAGCGCTGAAATCTAATCGGCCGGTCCGTCCCTGCACTCTTTGGTATGCATTCTTCGTTTCTTCCTCGATAACCGATCATTTAAGTATCACTCTTGGATGCGCCGTGAACTTCTACATAGCCACGGTAGCATGCTCCTGTCGCTTTTTCTCTTTTCCTCTTCTCTTCCTCTCTTCGCCGCTCTTCTCCGCGCCTGAATATCGCTCTTTTTCCTATTTTCCTCCAGATTTACACTCTTCTTCCTCTTTCCCTCTCTGTCCCGTTCTCCTTTCTAGCCTTTCTTCCGTCGTCTCCCTTCCTTCGTGCCGCTCGCGTGTATTCACGCTCGTGTCGGTGAATAAATATACGCGTGTGCGACGCGCGGTCGCTGTGTGTCTGCGTGCACGAGTGTGTGCGCGACTAGCGGTACTTTATCCGTAAATGTACGGGATACCGTACGATATTTCCCTCCGGAATTGATCGCTCTTTGAGCATGGTGGCATCGTCCCATGACTGTAATATAAATCTCCGATGGGACTTAACGAAATCGTCCATTACTGGACGTAATGGTCGTTCGACTAATGAACGGGAAATTCATGCAAGTTGCGAGTCAAATCGCTCCCATGTTATGTGATGATGTCCGATGCGTTAATCGGACACGACTGCATCGCGCTATCGAGAAAAAGATGAGAATGAAGGAAGTTGTTGGAACGAAGAGAGGAGTGACCGGTTTTTACGTGAGACACTGAAAGGGACACATATATACATACATAACCATATGCAATATCTAAAAATAATAATTCTATTCGTTTATTTCTTTGATTCGTTTCATTTGCTCCAGTTATCTTAGTTCTATTCGTCACAATATCTTATCAAACTTTTTTTATTGCATTTCACGTATATATGAAACTTTCGCTTAATTAGACGACAGTAAGACTCCGCGAATACTACATACTATACGTATAGATGTCTTAGTGTGTAAAATATAAAGTGAAATATATAAAATTTTCCGAAGTCGCGATAAATACACAGCAGCGCAATGGCTTGCAACAGAAAAAAAAACATATAAATTTATTTTAAACTTACAAATTGGATTCCCGTCAAGGTAATATAATGATAGAATACTGGTAAAGTATATTCAGGCATTCAGGACAGTCCCAGATAAGCCGGATCGACTAGAGTGAATTTCTCGATGCACTCGATTAGCCACATCAGCGGGAGGCTCTTGATGTGCGGCATCTTGTATTTGATGCGCGGCTCACCTTTGCCCGGCATATATATAATATAATGGGTGCACCTGTGCAGAGGATGAGACGAGTCGTCGGCAGTGTGAAAAGGTATTGCCCGCGATATATCGTCTTTCAAGTCTTTCGGATCTGGCTCTCTAGCCAGCACAGTTCCTTCACCTTCCATCACTAGTTTCGCCAGAACATTTTTCGTTAAATGTATGTCGCCAATTCGATATTCGCCGTTCGCCCGTGGAGTGAAGTAAAAGAAGCAGTTGTTGAAGAGACGCGGCTTTTGATGCTCCGCGTTCAGTCTCGCTTTCCTTGGAACCCCGTGGAACGGCGCGCCACTAACTTCGAACACTTCAAGATCCATATTAGATACGTCCTCCATATCTGCCGCAATTGTAATCCCTTTAAACAAGCATTAATTAACATATTTATTATTACATACTTTTTGCATAAAGTTTGTATTATTTCAATAGTTACTTATGCGTACATCTTATAGTGATACAATTTGCACGGAATTCTATCGTGAATTGATAAATATATTTTAAATATATTCAACGTGAATTGATAAATATATTTTAAATATTTTAACTGTAAATATTTATATAAATATAATAGTTTAGTTATACATATAATTATTAATTTATTATATTAATATATTATCATATATTATTATATATATTATATATAATAAATTATAATATATATGTAACATATAAATATTTATTTAATAATTTATTTTAATACACACACATATATATATATATATATATATATATATATATATATATATATATATACACACCTAATTATATTATTTTATTGTATATAAAATATAATATAAATATAAAAATAATTATAAATATATTCTGACTAAATAATTGAATTACATGAAGCATAAAGAACTATCAGAAATGCATTATTGTGTTTTATCTTACATTCACTGTTAAGAAGCCAACTTCCACGGACAATAGCAAATAAAACATCGACTGTCAATTTTGCAATGTTCTGCTCATTTGTCTCCACTATAACATGCGTAATAGATGATCTGGAACGTAAATTTTGAGATATCGAGTGGAATATAGAATGCAAACAAATAATAAATTGAAGATATTTATGAAAGAGAAAACGATTGAAAATTTTAAATACTCCAAAATATGTGCTAGAAGAGACAAGAATAATTAATTTGAAGAAGAGAGCAATACTATTAGCGGAAAATGAAATGGCGAAAATTATGACATGGGAAAGAGAGGAGCTAAAAAAAAAAATAATGAAAAATATAAGAATAATAAAATAAAAAACTTAAGAGTCTAAAAAGAAATGGTTTTGTAATTATTAATAAAGGGTGGAGAAGAGTTAGAAAGGATAGAGGCTTGGTACAGAGACTTGAAAGATTTGACTTGTATAAAGAAAACTGGGATTTAATGGATAAAGTGGAAATTGGTATGAGCATTGGAGAAGAGTTTAAGCAAGAAAAAAATAACGGATAAAGAGATAATTAATAAAGTTATAAAAAGATATGAATTAAATAAAAAAGGGATGAGGTAAGAAGAGATAAGGTTTTGATTGAAGAAAAAAGGAAGAAAATCTACAGAAATAGCTATAGTCAAGGGTAAAGAGAAAGAAGAATTTTATATTAGCTTAAATAAGAGATATTTGATTTTTATTGGGGAAACAGTAGCGATAGTCAAAGAACTTCAAATATGTAAAGAGAAAAAAACAGAAAGAGATATTATAATTTTTTCAGATTCAAAAAGTGTAATCTAAAGAATATAATTTATCAATATATAAAAACACATATATGATGAAGGTAGATATGATTAGGAGAGAAAATTTATGTTTAAAAAAATAGAAAGAAAGTAGGTGATTCTGGATATAGATGGGATAAGTAGGAGCAGATATTGGGATATAACTAAGATACTTTATCAGTTTTTGAAGAAGATTAATACAAAAATTTAATAATATACAAGGTGAAGATAAATATACTTTATAGAAGAGCGGAAGAAGAGGTATTATAAGTCACAGCCAAAAATATCCTTGGGGAAGGCTGAAGGCTTAGTAAAAGACACTCCATTAGAATTAGAAGAAAAAACACATAGAAGAAAATCTTTACCTGTCTGTGGTTAAAACTTTAAATTTATGTTGTGCAGCTACAAGACTAAGCATCTTCTGATTCTCGAGTCTCAAATTTGAAGCAAGAACCACTAACTTCTCCTGTCCTACAGCAAATGATCTATCCAGAGTTTGATTAAGATCAAATGTTTCCTCGAATAAGTGTGGTGACTCATGATTTTCCAGAATTTCCCGCATCTCATCTGATGTACAATAATCTCTATAAAATTGAAACATACAAAATTTAAATTTTATAAGAAGACATAGCTATATAAAATATATTATCTCTCTCTCTCTTTCAGTCAAAATACATACAAAGGGGTTTTGCCATATTGATCATACACATCTTTGTCAGCATGTTTCTGCAGTAGTAATTTAGCTTCTTCAATCCTATTAGACATTGCTGCATCATGTAGTGGTCTCCTACTTTCATTGCCTGGTGTATTAGGCAATGCTCCACCTTCTAATAATAATTTACATAATTCAGTATACCCATAACTGACTGTTTCTTGCTGAAATATTAAGTAGAAAAAAAGGATAACTCAGATTTGACAGAGTAAAATAACAATATAATAAAATGTATAAAACATATGTATTATTTACCAGTGGTGTCCAACCAGCATTATCCTTTGTATTAGGATCTGCTCCAGCTATCAAGAGAAGTTTGACATGTTCAACATTTTTCTACAAGACAATTGTATTTTGAAATTTTAAAAATAAATTATTAAAAATGTGATTGAAAAAGAAAATTTTCTTAAAGTATCTAAGATTGTATAACTATATATCCATACCTTCAAACATGCAATATGTAACTGTGTTTCTCCTTTAAAATTTGTTTTATTTATATTCCTTTTAGGTATATTCATATTTTTTGGTGTACAAATTGTCTTAGATACTGTGGTATCCATTGACATATTGAGGATATCTTTATTTTTATCCCATAGGTCTCTAAAGTAACAGCATACTATTACAAACTATAGTAAAATATATATATAGACTATAATTATTCCATTACATTATTAGTATGGTGATATTAATAATGTTAGTATATAATTATTATATTAAAAGTGCTATTATACCATGAACTATACTATATGAGATGTTATATTGCTGTATATAATAATTAAATATAATAATAATACCATGTATCTATAGCTGCAAGCTTAACAATGTACAACTGCATTATTTCCTTTATTTTAAATTTATTATAGATTAAGAATGTTATAAATTAGTTATATAAACTAATTATACTATCAGCACTTTATTTCCATTTGTATTAGGAGAGATCTATATTCATACTTCTTATTAATAACTTCAGCAATAGCATCGCAATTTCTGATGAGATTGGATATCATGTGATCGGGATTCATTTCCTTTGGCTGCACTGGTATATCACATATGAAGCATTTTGTGGTCAACTTAGCACAATTTTCACAGAAGAAATGTCCACAATTTGTGAATCTTATGGGAGAAACTGGTTTATGTCCACTGTACAAAAAGATATAACAATATATAAATATAAAACAGCACTAAACAAAGCAACAAATAATTATACAGTATGTTAAATGTTTCTATAATCATTCAAATAAGCCACTTGATTACAGCAACTTAATAAATAATGCAATTACCATTTTCCACAAATCAAAAGATCCACAAAGTCCTGCAATGCACTTGCTGTGTTTGACCATGAAATATTCATTTTTGCAAAACTAATCTTTTAAACGCAATATTGTAACGCAATATTGTAACGTATTGTCACAAAAAATGAAAGAAAGAAATTAATTATAAATACAAAAATAGTTACTCTTCAATAATCAATCAGACTGACGTAAGTGTGAATATCTCAAAACATTGAGGAACTTTTAATACTGGAGATGACGATATTCTTCCTTACGAACCCGCCAAATTTGAGAGCAGAGACAATACCAACTTGCAGCAATATTCACAGATGGTAAAGTAGAATTTAATTGATCAATCGAAACAACAAGAACAAAATTTCTTTATCATGATTGGTTAATTGAATGTAATTCTACATGCCGAATAGGATTTTGGAATGTAGCCCTGTACACTAGGGCCGGTATTCATAATCAGATCTTACATTTAAGGCCGTCTTAAGTTCATCTTTAGATAGTTTACGGATGATTTCATTGGCTACAAAGCATCTGAAAATGAACTTAAGACGATCTTAAATATAAAACCCGATTATGAATACCGGCCACAATAGAAATCTAGGAAATAACTAAATGTTTCCGATCGGAATTGATTCCGAAGAAGTCTATAATAGGTACCCACTGCAGAGCTGCGTTCTAAAACTCTACTCGACGGGTAGAGTAGCATTTAATTGACCAATAAGAACACAGATAACTAGGATTTCTTTATCATGATTGGTCAATTAAATAGTACTCTACCCACCGAGTAGAATTTTGGAATGCAACCTTGAAGGTATGTCCCGATGAAGTAAGAAATAGCGGGACGGAACAGTAACGGAAAAGAAACTAGGTAAAAAACAACCAATGAGAATCCGCTATCACTCCGTTCCGTTTTTTTATCGCCGGAATCCCCATGGCAATAATTTTACGGAACGGAACGCTAGTGGATTTGCTACGCATGACCTATGACAACTCCATGGATATAATCTGTGAAAAGGGATTATCTTGAAATTATATTATACAATATATGGTAGTATTTATTATATTTTATTTATAAAAAGGTGATAGAGATATTTCTTTATAACTAATAAATACATTTTTTTTTATTTTTAAGGACGATATATTTTGGTACGTGAATCATTAAATATAATAAAAATATGTTTATTAAAGCCAGAAAATAGCAAAACAGTGCACAAATAAATAAAATAATAAAAAAATTAATTAAAGCTGCTTTAAAATACAAATATTTAAAGAGAAAAGAAAAAAAAATGTTAGATATATCTAAAATTATATCTGAAACATGTTAAGCAATTTGGGATAATTTAAAAGATAAAGTTATTTTCTGAAAATGCAGAAAACATATAGATATAGAAAGTTAATGAGTTTGAAGAAGTATACTTAATTTAATTAATTGTAATAATTCAGCAAATGTACCAGTAAATTCAAAATATATAATATTCAAAATAAATTTATATTCAAAATATAAATTTTATTCAAATTTATATAATATTCAAAATATATAATATTCAAATAAAATTCAAAATATATAATATTCAAAATATTTGTCATGAGCAGAATTTGCCATTTTCCTGATTAAATTATTATTGTCTCTTTGTTAACATCGTTTTTGTTCACTAAATATTGATCGAACTCAAATTCTTTGAACATACTTCTTTTTTCTTTTTAAATATTTGTATTTTAAAGAAGCTTTAATTAATTTTTTTTTCCCATTACTTTATTTATTTGTATACTCTTTTGCCATTTTCTGACTTTGGTTAATAAACATATCTTTGTTATATTTAATGATTTACATACCAAAATGTATCATCTCTAAAAATAAAAAAATGTATATATTAGTTATATATTACTTTTTTGATAAATAAAATATAATAAATATTGTATCATATTGTATAATATAATTTCAAGATAATTCTTTTCACAGATTATATCCACGGGGTTATCACAGATTAGCAAATCCGCTAGCGTTCCGTTCCGTACAATTATTGCTACCCGGGAAACCCGGCGACGAAGCGGAAACGGGAACGGAAACGATAGCGAAATCATTCTCATTGGTTATTTTTCATCTAGTTTCTTTTCCGTTACAAAACCATGGTTCTGGGGCCGGACTTCTCTCTCATTTAGCAATATAGGCTGCGTTCCGAAATTCACTGCCAGTATTGAAATTCTATATATACATAACATAAACTATAGATTTTCAGTACTCGCAGTGCATTTCAGAACGCAGCCATCGTAGTATCACATATATGTGTAGAACGATATTACATATGTAGAACTTAAGAGGAGCTTGTCCTAAAATGGAAGGACAGACGATGTCCGAGGAGTGTATTTTGACCGTAGTGCGCAAGCGCGGCAATCAGATGATGTTATATATATAGAGGTACGGTCCAGTGAGCGCTGCAAATGTTTTTTAGCGTTTTTACTTCTCTTTTTCTTCATACATGTTCCGATATTAGTATGTTATTACCATAAAAGAAATGTGTATTATATGTAAAAAGTAATTACAATGTTAGTTTTATTAAAAGTATAGTTTTTTATTGGTGATTGGCGGATACGATCTATCTGACGCATGTGCAAAATGTTTATACTACAGAAAGAAAGAGAAATATATATTCCCGCACCGTGGTTCTAGGGCCGGACTTTTCTCTCATATAGCGATATAGTAGTATTACATATTAAGTGTGGCACACATCGTTCGATATTTCGTGATAAATATAGGTAAGAAAATATTTAATTATTTTGGTAATTATTTAGAAGACGGGCCCCACCTTCGATTTCACTGAAACTCACCTATCTTGTGTATTTCGATGTGTAGAAGCCGAATCTGAAAGTTAAAATCGTCGCTCGGCTCTACAAACCGAGAAATTAATTATTAAAGATGCTAGGTATGATAGGTTAGGAAACTTATTGCAACGTAAAGACTGTTCGTAGAGTTGTCTTTTCTGTACTAGTGCAGTAAGTACAATTAATATAATATTTAATATTAATATTATAAGGTTTATTGTACTTTATTGTAAGTGCCAAAACATTATGCTGCATTATAAAATCTACTAATTTTTCCTTATTAAATCTGTGTAAAATTCGCAAATCTGAAAATACATGCATAACCTCATAAGGGACGTCTACATTGGAAGTAAATAGCAAGAAGTAGGAAGTAAGAGTAAGAAATTGACCAACCACAGTCGAATGTGAGAAGAATAATTAACTATGATTGGTCAATTTCTTAATCTTACTTCCTACTTCTTACTGTTTACTTCCAATGTAGACGTCCCTTTACTGAAGTTAGGCTACTTATATTTAGTATTAAATGTGATCGTCAGATTCTAAATACAAGAAAGCAAGGATCTTGATATAAGATTAAATAGGGTTGATTTTCATACAAGATAAAACAAGATAAAATTTAATTTGATGTAACTAGTATAATTAAACTTAAAATTTAACCTAACCTAGTATGTAGCAGGAGCCAGTTGCAACCAAACCAAACCCAACCTAACATATACCAAACTATTTCTTTCTTTTTTTTATAAAAGAGCCGGAACTCTTTGTTTGAGGAAAAGAGATCCAGGAAATATCCTAGGATTTTATATATATATATTACCATTATTATTTTTATTAAAGAAACATAATAAAACAAACAAGAAATATTCTCTGCAATTATAAATAATAATACAAGTATGCAAATAATTAAAATATATAATACAAATATAAATATTGTTTTTTGGAATCAACAATTAAAAACTTATATAAAGTCAATGGCTGCATTCAGCAAACATAATAATTTTGTAACCGTTGAGTAAGTCATATCTGATTGATCTATACTTCTATACCTACCAATGATATATTTATCTTGTAAAAATCGATTATGCAACTTTTATGTTCGCTGAATGCAACCAATCAAAAAAATATGCTCCGTCCATATGCTGAAAACAATGTCGGAAAACAGTACGGTCAATATTTTCAATGCATTTTAGAAGATACTCAAATATTTCTACGGTCGGTATTCATAGTCAGATCTTATATTTAAGATTATCTTAAGTACTGTCTTAAGATATCACGAACCAATCACAGAGCCGTATTCGTATCTTAAGACATTACTTAAGACGGTCTTGAAATAAGATTCGACTATGAATACCAGCCTATGTCCACGTTTCCTATATTATTTTTAATACTAGAGTGCACTGCCAGAATAAACCCTTACGAAAAAAAATACAAAAAAACCCTCAATTTTAGATGTAAACACCCAAAAACTGGGGATAAACACCTAAATTTGAGTGTTAACCTAAAATTGAGGATTTTTTCGTATTTTTTTCGTAAGGGAATATCGAAACGCAGACATCTTTGGCTGGTATTCAAAGCTGGATTTTATATTTAAGACCGTCTTAAGTTTATTTTCAGATACTCTACGGATCATTTCATTTCATCTGTTCTTTTTAGCTGCACTGCTGAACTAGTGTAATAAGTTAGAGTGAGAAAAAATATACTTATCTCATTTTAACTTATTGCACTAGTTCAGCAGTGCAGCTAAAAAGAACAGACCAATTAGCTACGGAGTATCTAAAGATGAACTTAAAACGATCTTAAATATAATATTCAAATATGAATATCAGCCATAGATCTAAATGAATACCCAGTAAACAAGATGACGTCTTAATGACATTTTATTAATGTTAGAAACGTTTTTACGTTTACGTTAATTGATTCCGAAAAGTTCTATAATACATACCTAGTTGTGCAATCGTTGGGAAATGCTGGTAGTTCGCACGATTGTCTCCATGACAGGACGCTCTTCTGTGCATGCGTAGAATGACATAGCAGTTTGCTATTGGATATCGCATCGTCCACGCATGCGTAGAAAGTTTCTTGTCGTAGGAAAAATCCTGTAAACTTCCAGCACTGCCGTTGAATGATTATCGCCTTTGATTGAAGTACCTAGCAAACAAGATAACGTCAAATGACGTTTTAATGACATATTATTGACGTTAGAAATGTAAAAACGTTTCTAATAAAAACGTTTGTCATTAAGATGTCATTTGTCGTCTTGTTTGCTGGATACTTCAATCAAAGGCGACAATCACTCAACGGCAGTGCTGGAAGTTTGCGGGATTTTCTCTACAAGAGGCTTTCTACGCATGTGTGGACGATGCGATATCCAATAGCACACTGCTCTGTTACTCTACGTATGCGCAGAAGGCCTTCTGTCGTGGAGAAAATCTTGCAAACTGCTAGCACTTCTCAACGATTGCATAACTAGATACATATTAGACTGATTCTACATTAGTTGCAAATTGCAAAGTCGCAAGAAAATTGACCAATCACAGTCAATTTTTCTTTGGTCACGAAAAAAATGATCAATTGTGATTGGTAAATTTTCTTGCAACTTCCGATTTGCAACTAATATAGAACTGGTCTTATAGAACTTTTCGGAATCAATTCGCATGCGAATAAAATTTTTTCTCGGATGTTATTTCAGCTATTAATATCATCTTTCGGTATAATCCTTCGTCTATTGGACGATGCTAAATATAGAATACTTAATATTTTCTAAAATTAAAATATTTTAAAAAATTTTGGGAATTCATACTGCGTAATAAAGCTTTCCAATATTGAACATAAAACACGAATGCAACTTTGAGCCATGCAATAAATTTAAATTATTTGCTGTTCGTGTAATCGAAGTTATTTCAAGAAGACTCAAATATGGATGAATCAGCTGTTTTATTTAAAATACGGAAAGTGTGAGCTACATATCCTGTATCCGAAATAAACTAAAAATATTTAGATTTATGGGGAGTAAGAGATATAGAAGAGATATCGTACTATAGGTTGTATAGAAAGTAGAGAGACATCGAACAGAAATAATCGATTATAAGCTATAATCAGTATCGGTATAGCCCATCTCTACTATATGTATCGAAAAGAAATAATCGATTATAGCTATAATCGGTATCGGTATCGCCCATCCTAGTAGAAAGTATATCCGCCTGATAGAGGGAGGGGGGAGAGAGAAAGAAAGACGAACCTACAATTTACCCTCATAGGCGTGCACATGGAAGAGAGGGGGAAAGAAAAAGTTTTCAAGCAGAGCGCATGCGCATCGGCGAGTCCGCGAAATCGCCGCGACATTTCGCCCTCTTCCTACCTCTCTTTTCCGCGTTCTCCATTCGACCTTTGTCGTTGTTGAATTCGTGCAAAATCTTTACAAAAAAGATCGACATCGTCCAATTCTGCATACGTTCGTGAGAGCGAAGAATTGAGGCGTTTTCCAGTGATTGTGTGATCTTGATGGCGTGGAGAAGAGCGGGTTGTCGTGACGTGCTGTCCGTTACTCGCCATCTTGACATTTCTAGCAGTTACTCGGGGGAAAGAAAGAGAGAAAGAGAATGAAAGAGGAGAGAACTGTCAATCGGCAGAAATCATTTCGTTTCGATTGTTCTATCGCGCGGTCTCGTGATTTCATGAATTATCGCTTTCGTGCGCGGTCGAAATTGTGCTACACCAATTAGCACGATCAATCAACGAGTGCCCGTCGTCGTCGTCGTCACCACCACCATCAATCTTTTCTCGCTCACGGAAGAAGAAAGGTTTCTGCGCTGGCACGAGAACGCGCGCGCGATTAGGCTGCGGTTAGGGTCGCGAGTAGGTCGCGGTTAGATCGCGGTGGACTTCGTCAGGAGACGTCGCTCACGACGACCTCGGGCACGACGCGAAGTGTACGTACAGTGATAGACAAAACGCGCGCGCACGGTGAGTTGTTTCTCGTGGTAGAATATAGAAAAACGAACGAACGGTCGGTCGGCCTGGAAAGAGAGGAAGAGAGAGAGAGAGAGAGCGGAAGAAGCATAGCGAGAAGATATACGCGCCGACGCTACCGACCGCGTCGAGAGAGAGAGAAAGAGAGAAAAAATGCAGCGCGAGGGTGCTGCGATTCGGACGACGCGTCGTGTCGTCTTGCAACGATGTTAAGGCCCGCGCAACACGGGAAATAAAGCGGGATCGCCAAAAAAGGTATACGGACACGTAGAGTGCTCACTCGCGACCACAGTGAATTCGGTTGGCTACGCTGGTCTACGTTGTGGCTTGAGACTCGTCACGCATTGATTTACTCAAATGTAATGCATTGCGTGTACAGGCGTCTCTTCCACGTATGCATTGGTCGGGCTGAAAGTTTGGCATAGATCGTCCGCAAATGCTGAGGGATCTTTCCTGATCGTCTGTGTCTCTGTCCGCTTCGCGTTGACCATCGGGTTTACTTGAATTTGATAAACCGTGCGACGAGCACGATGACACAAGCCGACGAGTTCTGATTGCTTATGTAAAACATACATTGTGTGAATTTGTGTGCAACAGTCTTTAGTGTTCTATTAGTGCATTTAACTGGGAAAAGTAGGAAACGCCTCTTGCAATGCTGATGTCAGGGATTGCACAATAAAATGTTGCTTGCCATTGTCTGCTGCTGATATTGTGTGAGCAGGTAGGGTGTACTGGATCAGACACCCTTCCTGCAGAATGGTCTAGATAAAGTTGATGGAGTAATTTGACATTTGTTTCATTATTATTTATTATTCTGAATTTATATCTTTCAGATAGCATAGTGAATTCTTAAAATATACTTAAAGTTTTCTCCTTTTTTAAATTGTAATCATACAAGAATGCTCGAATACTATTAGAATAATTGAGAAAGTTACATATACTACACTTGTAATTTCTGAAAACTTGTTGAAATATTTATATCTAATTATTCTATATCAACATATGTATACTTTATGGATTCAAAAGGAATAGTATTTAAAAACAGAGAAAGGATTACTATATATCCAGTAAGCATCAACCAACAATAACATTACACTAATATTGTAATTTTCCACTCAACAATATAAATGCAATGTACATATTGTACATATAATAGCTACATATTGTTGAGTGAGAAATTATAATACCGGTATAATGTTATGTTATTTAGTGTTTAGCAGATAACTGTTCTTTTCCAAATGAAATAATTGAAACAATTAAAATACATTCAGTTTTCAAACACATAAAAAGAAAGGAATTCAAGAATTATTTTAAGATGTTTATTCATGAAAAAAGTTATAATACAACACAAAATTAAAAGTAACAGATATCTGCTGAATACAATACAACAGAAAGTAATTATACAAACAAAATAATTATAATTCTTTATGGATTCTGAAAGTATTCAAAATGTTAAGTCACAAAATATTCCTTATAATGAGTTTTTAAGGAATATTTCAAATGAATTTAATATAATTTTTCAAGAATCCTTCAGATATTCATTTTTCTAATTTGTAGATATCCTTTAAAATAAAGTCTCTTTATACTCTTCTACTCATCTCTGTACTATCTGAATTATTATAGATATAGTATATTTATTGTTATAGACATTGTATAGTGTGTTTGTATATGTTTAGAACAAGAAATATTTATTCCTACACAAAGGAAATAGTGTAACAGAATATGCTGTGTGAAAAAAATCTTAAGATCTGTACAGTGAATGTATTTAAAGGTTCCTGAATGCTCGTTGCGAAATTCTTGATTGATAGTGTTAGAAACTAGGAAATGCAGTTTCTACTTCAAAATTTCTACAAAATATGTTGGAATAAAAAGGTCTCTAAAATCGATTAGGCATTCTCCTAAAATATCCTCTAAATATTTTCTTTTTGCTCCAATAATCAATAATCTTAAGATTAACGTGATATATGTATATATGTAACCTTCCTTTTCTAACCTATCTTTTCTCATGATTTTATCACGTTAATTTTACGGCTATTTGTTGATTGTTAGAGCAAAAGAAAAGTGTTTGGAGCATTTTAGAGATATGCTTTACCGATTGCAGAGGCCATTTTTTATGTATCTTTTTATTACAATGTTTTTTTTTTTTGAAAAATTTTTTATATATTTCCTCGCCCCTGACGTCATCAATCAAGATGGCCGCAGCGAACACCCAGCAGCTTCTCAAATAGGAAACATTTCAATAACTTTGGAAACATGAAATCCTTAGCTATGCAAGGAATCGGTGGATATGAGACAGACCTGCCTGGAAGCAGACCCTCTAACGACATAAATGAGGCCATAATGGATATTACTAATGATATGTATTCAGAAGACAACAGAAACATAAGAAAGGAAGAGAGTTCTATGATATCCAATCTTCCTCTTTTGTTTGCTAATGGACATCCCACATCTCTAGAGAAGATCACGATGGTACTATATTAGTTATCCCATTTGATATTTTGCATACATATTTGTATTATTTTCAGAGATTTTTGTAATTTGATTCATTGGAAATGAATAAAGCTACAACTGCATGAGACTGCAGACTAAATTACACTTAGATTCTATTTATGAATCCAACATCGATAACTGTCTTGCAGGTGCAACTAGAGCGCTTTATATCCTTCATGGTTCATTGTTCGTTGGGGCATGACACCACTAGAATTATTAACAAACCTCAGTGGTGGCCTCAAGATATTAAATTTTCAAATCCACTGACAAGACCCAAAAAAATCAATGATGTAAGCTGTTATATTCTATCTAAACTTATATTCTATCACTAGATAATATTATCATTGTCTCTTCCTTTTCTCTACTTCATAAACTATGAAATATTATATAGGCTCTAATGGTTAATGACATGGCTGCGTTTGCAGAGAAAGCTGCTTTGCAACTGTTGTAAAATTTGTGAACCTAATTGGTATATGCTTCTAGATTTTCATTTTCAATTTTTTTTATTCATATTTACTATATAAAAAAATTAGAATCAAAATATTCAGTTGGCTGATTCAAAGTTGCAGCATTTTTTCCAATGAGTGTTGCAACATATTCTGTATCTAATAGGAAAATATATCTCCTGAGAATTATTAACAAATCTCAGAAGTATAGTGGGCTTAAAATGTTAAATTTTAAAATTCATTGACAAGGCTCAGAAAAATCAATGATACAAGCTGGTTTCTATTATTAATTTGCCTTCCATCATAAAAATAAATTCTATTAAATAAAGGATGCTTTATAAAACTGATTGAAGAGAAGTGTTGCAATCTTGATTCAGAAGAGAGAGAGAGAGAGCCGACTGAACGTTTTAGTCTTAGATTAGATTTATTTGTTTGGTTAATAAAAAATTGAACATCATTATGAAGTCAAAGTAAGTGCAATGTTAACTGACAAAATAGAATTAGTATATTTTTAATTAATTTTTTAAATCTATCACTGCAGTATATTTAAAAATGGTAGCACCCACAACTCATGTTTGGTTTAATATTTGTTTGAATATCTTTTGGGTTTATTACTAGCATATTACTTCTGGTCTGTGCACCAATTTCGATGTAATCTTTTTTTTTTTAAATGTGAACAAAAGAGTGCACGATAAGTGATATGACGAATTCTATAAGCATGGTCTAAGATATCTCAATCTCTATTGTATCATATCTAAGATATCTCAAGTCTTGTGAGTTTCCTGACAATCTTTGAGGGTGGTGCGTGATGCTGGGTCGTGCAGGTGTGCAGTTCAGTGTCATGAAGTGTCATTAATTGTTAGACTTTGTATAATTTACAAATTAAATTCTATTCTTTTGAGAAAGTATTGACTCTAAATTGTTATTCTAGAACTGGATGGCGAATCTAAAGAAATTAGTTTTCCGTTGTTACACATACCACAGAAGCGAATATTTGCTGCGTTTTTGTTCCTATCTGGCACGATATCCGCACGAAGAACTGGAGTATGTGAATAATTGGGATTCAACGACTAGTCTATATCACAAAAGTTCCGGGAAGCTTTTAGTAACGTTCCGCAATGAGAATATGGTTTGTATAAATATGCGTATAGATCTAGAGATATATTTGCAACATTCATATCAATACACTTCGCTGTAAAGTTACAATGCCCATACGGAGAAGAAAGGTCGGTTGCATTAACTTAGCAATAAACAAATTGAACACGTTTTAGTTGAAGGAAACAGAATTTCTGCTTAATCAATAAAAAGCTTTTTCCACGCCTACAGAATTACGATAAGAAGAATGACAGCTCGCGAAGGACATTGCTGTCTCATAATGCAACTTCACCGGGTTATGGTAACAAGGCCAAGCAACAGAATACTCCCATGATGGTCCAACCACCATGTGACGATATTTATCTATGCGACAATTGCGACGCCGAGTTCGTTGGTCTCGCGAAGATGAAGGTACTAATATCGGATCTATTGCGACTACCTTCCTATCGAATCCATATCTTCGCTACTAAGAACAATTATATAAAGTCACCTACTGTGAAATGATCTCTCTCGACCAGACTTAGACGAGGAAAATCAATCTAGACGCGATAACGTTAACGTGCATATATTTTTTATCTGTTGATTCAGGAGCACGAAAAGATATGCGGTGATCAAGATCATGGCGGCAGTGGCTCACGGTCGTCCACACCGGATCTGTCCACGATTGAGCCCGAGCAGCAACAGCATCAATTTCTAGACTATTTTAACTTGAGATCAAATGAGACTGAAGCTAAGCCGTCTGGTGTGAATAACACAAGCGAAACTGAAAACAACGTCGTTAGACGAACGTCTCGGCGCGTCAGAGGAGCCCTCAATTTCGCGAGATGCGCCACCATCCCGTTCTCGTCACCCGCTGGTTTAGTACTAGCAAAGAAGTCTAAGACAATGACCCAGGAAACGCAACAGGAACGATTAGAGCGAATAGAGAGACACGTTATTGCGCCAGTATTAAGGAATTCGTTTAGACCAAAGTGGTTGGACGCCGAACCGGACTACGATAGATGGGTGGTTACGCACAAACCAAACCGAGATAAACCAATGAATGGTTATGTGCACCAATATAAATATGTAAAATCGTCCAAGAACAAATTCGGTAATTATCCATTGTTGTCAAGTTATTAGGTTCTAAAGGTAGACACTTATCTTGTTTAATTGGTCATCTTGTTAAGTAATTTGATGTTAAAAGTTAGATCATTCTAAAATTAAAAAGAGAAAAATCACAAGAATACTACATAATTTACATTTGTCTTTTCTAGTTCTGAGTATACAGTCGCAACTGTTGTACGCCGCGTGTCGACCTATTTACGTCGTTGTTGCCCAACTGAGTCAAAAAGAGATCGAGGAGCTGAAACAAAACCCTTTGCAATACCAGCCTCCGACTATTGCGGGTAAAGTCATATTAACGAGAAAAGCAGGACCAGCTTGCAAGACGAGATCGCAACAGAAAGTTCATGCACAAAACGCGTCGGTCTCTTCGAGACGCAGAACGCCGCTGGGAAACGAATCCGATCCGATTGTTGTCGAGGACGACGAAACCATCAATACAGCAAGTGTTACAGAGGCCTCAAGTGCCTCCACTGTTGTAAGACCATCTCTCGTGGATGACGCAGAGCCTACAAGGACGGTCAAAGAGAAGAGATCATCGTGTCCAACGAGTTCAATTATGTTGATCGATCTTTGCTCGTCCGACGAAGAGGGAGATCGGTGTACTCCGACACCAGCTTGCGACGAGAATAGGGATCCTATGAACTCCGCAGAGTCCACGATCACGAGATCCTTTGTGCGGAAAGTCACTTCGACCAACAAACACTACACGAAACCTTACATTTGCCCCGCGCCCTCGCCGGACCGGTTGTCGAGTAATGTACTAAATGAAGATAGAAACGAAAATTGTTCTAACAAATCTCGAACTGGCGTATTGAACGAATACGCACATCTTTCTCCTGCTCTTAGATCGACACCATAAATATCATGTCCACAGATAAGAAGTTGTTAAGATGATTCCCCTTGTGCATTGTTATATATGTACATTGTTTCTTGCGTATTTATTATTATACTAAACGGCAAGTTTGCGTTAGATAATTTGCATGATATTATGATTTCGTATTTTTGTTCCAGTGTATAAAGATTGAAAGTTATAATATGAGCAAAAAAAGAATCTATCATGTCCAGTTGGATCATATTTGAAGTAATGCTTCCAAATATTTGGATATCTGAATATTCGAATATTCGAAATCAGTTGTAAAACTCAAAATCATCATTGTATTATTATATTGGCTATTATTACATTACTTAGATAATCTCCAAGTTATTTGAGTCCAGATTCGGAACGGTATCGAAAACTAGAATCGAATTCGATTAAATCTTTAAAGTAGAAATCTAGGTTGTCGCTAATATACATAAACAAATCCGCTATGAAATACATCTAGATTCAACTTTTTGATTGTTTTGCTTGAGAATCCGAATTCTCAAATAATGAATTTGAAGTAATGAATGAAAAGCGTCACGTTAAGCCATTATAGGAATAATCAGATATTCAGATAATGTTAGATCCAAATAAACCTTGAAGTTCTAGTTTGAAAATCACAGAATAGAGTTTCTCACAATACGCGGTTTAACAATTTAACGTTATTTAAAGTTTATTTAAAGTTACTTAACAATAATTTTAATAATAGGTTCTTTAAATAATCTAAAAATCTTGAAATAAGTAATTATTTAATGCAACTCTACAATTATTAACGTTACAAGTTTTCTGAAGCAAGTTTTTAATTAAAATACTTAAGATCTGTGAGATTGAAATATATAAAACTAAAAACATAATGTTAATCAATAATACTGTTACGAAGTTATTATAATCGAGCTATTAGAAGACTCCCTTTACAAAACTTGTAACTACTTTGACATCTCTAAAGAAAAATTAGCTTAATATTCATTAGAGAATCTGTTATTAACATTTAAATTGCGGATTGTGAGATATTCTATAGCCCTTATTTTGGACTTTTTTTCGATAAAGGTGCCTTGAAATATGATTGAAAGTCAATCAAGAGACTCGTTAGCTATATTTAGAGACACTTTTATCGATAAAAAAGTTCAGAATAAAAGTCTATATATACAAGTCTGTTATATGTATAGTTCAGAATACATTTAGTTTGTTACATACGTCTGCTATTATAATATTAATAGGATAAGATTTAATTTAAAAAAATTATATATATATATATATATATATATATATATATATATATATATATATATATATATATATATATATA